TCATTTTAATGAGCATGATAAAATCTTATTCAAATGTCGGCGATATCACCTTGTATTTACCGTGTACCTTTGAAAGTTTGCAAGCAATCTCAGAGTAAGTTACATTTTTCATAATAATTACAAGAGGAAATTGTAAAATTTTTACAACATTAAAGACTAAATACAAATAATTGTTAATTGTGTTCCCTTAATTGTGAAAGATGTGTGAAGACATCAAATGTTTATTTGTATTTAGTCACCTATTTTTTACAATTTTCTAGAAACTTTTAAAGATCCACGACCAAATAAATTTTAAACTTTTAATATTGCTACAGTTTATTTTAAATACTGTAATTATATCGTGACAATCGTATTTCCATTACATTTAGACTGTTGGAGAGTAACGTATCAATGTTCCCATCTTTAAAAACATCAATGGATATTTTAAGAAGTAACAAGACGTTACGTATTATTGGTGTAAATAAATTTTGTCACATTCGTATTACTGATAACCTACGAACAGAAAACGTCTGTTCCGTACACGACTTTGCCTCCGAAATCGACGACTACAGACTGTTGTATACTTGTTGGAGGAAGTTCGATGCGAAGTACGATCAAATATTTTGTACAAACATGTACTTGAATTGCAAAGAAGCAACAATAAATACACTCGTATCTCGCCCAATTAATAAACATTTAGATGAAAAGAGTATCTTCGATATCACCTACAAATGGGCCATGAACAAACTTAGTGAAAAGAAATCTCTAAGACAACTCATGGAACCTTTCTTATCAAAAATCAGATTTTTGACAATGGAAAATGAAATCTTTGAGTCCGATAATTTTTCACTCGTCTTAACTGAAAAAGAACTGGAAGCAATAAGGCTGTTTTTCGTAACTGAAAATTTGTCGTGTGTCCCTGACAATATTTCCAAGTCCATTAAAACCAGGACTTCTTATCAATATCCGTTATTATTCACTTACTGCAATCGATACTCGCCCGTCATTAAAATACAAAGATTCGTGACTAAAAATATACAATTTATATCAGGAATATTTGTTCACGAAAACTGTTTTATGACAAGCATTCGTCTACCAATAACACATAATAAACGACGTGGAATAGAAGCAAGTTTATATTTTTCGATGAATGGCAGACATTTAAACGAAAGAAAATTTCTTACATGCCAAATGAACGGATGTGTCAAGTTAAACGTTGGACTTTATATTAAAAAGTTTACAACGTTTCACCTTATCGTTAGATTTGCCAAAAAGGAAATAATTTCAAGAAACAAAATAGAAATCAAACCATCCGCAGATCGTTTCACTCCAATTCATGACGTCATTGCAATTCCTCCCACGGAAGAAAATATATATTTAAAACCTGACCTTTTTCCAATATATTGTGACGTTAGATTGTTCTTTTGAGAATTAGATTACTTTCTGAAAAATATGAAGAAAATTATTAAGAATACTTTTTCAAAAATTTTTCACGTNTGAAGTTAGTAGCTCTGAGGATGAAACTTCTGTGATCTTAGAGAGTGACGACTCGTGTGATGAAGTTCAAGAGGAAAATAATTGTGTGGGGTGCGGTGAAAATTATTTTACTACTTCGAGCACAGAAGACTGGATTGAATGAGTTACCTGTCGATTCTGGGTGCACGAAGTTGCACCCTTTTTGAAAATTACTGTCAGAAATTGCGGTATTAATTATAAAAAATTTAGTAAGTAGTAATGTTTGTGACCTATATTTGTAATGACTATTGTTTATCTTAATACAAAAATGAGATTATCTTTGGTTTTTAATCATTTAAATGCCTCTACAGAACATTTAAGCTTTATACTTACCTGCATTTCCAGCATATGAAACATTTTTGTTAACTGATAAAGCTAATATTTTATAAAGGAAAAGACTTGGATAAACTACCTACCAAATATGTAATCCAACACCTTATTTTTCGCTGAGAGATTATTTTTAATTAAAACAAACGTTTTCGATCCATTCATTGGATCATCCTCAGGCTAAATGGAACACTTCATAAATAGAACTACGCGTTTAAATATTCAAAAATACAAATAAACCGATAACATAAAAATAAATAATACTTGTAAATAATNTACAATAAATCACACATTTGCATCGCACTTCTAAGTCTAAGGTTGTTCCAGTGTAATTAGTCGAAAGTGTAATTACACTGACACAACCTTAGTTAAATCTAAATATTTAATATAAGTAAATGATATTAGCACATGTTACAACACCAAATAAAGGTAATACTATATCGAAGTAAGTTAAATGATGTAAATTAATAAAAAAAAATTAAAAATTAATACGAGATGCACTTCCACGTGCACAGTGATTTCATACACCTGACGAATAATCTTAAAAGTAACCTCATTTCGATGAAATTTTAACTTATCAATTAAAAAACATAGTTTTAACCGCACATACCTTTTAACCACAACGATAAAATTAGCTGATTGATTGAATAAATCGTTCGCAAAATTCGCAATATAACAATTGCTATATTGTGTTTTATGTTTAATGTTCTGTGATTTTAAATAAGAGAAAGAATCTGTGGACTTTCACATTTTGTATATTTTATTTAGATGTCATAGTTGCAAGTACAGTTCAATAATTTTGCAATTCTCGGATATGTCTAATACGTTATTATTCCAGGAACGTTGATCGTTCTACGTACAGTCCAATCTGTCATTTTTCTTTATTAGTCATACATTTTAATTTTGAAGACATTCAAACTCGCATTTTCTGATTGCAAACAATAGCGTGAAAATTGGTCAACAGAATACAATAGTGTAGAAAAAAAAGGACAATTAACTGAAAATAAAGAGAATGTAAATTTTTAAAATTTTAAATTTTCTTACTTCTGAATTTACTTTAAAAAATAAATATAGAATTAAAAATTTGAAAAACAAGTTGCATGACTTTCTCGGCTGTTAGGAAATTTTAGTTAAAAGTGACTTTTATATTATTAATCGTACTAACAATAAATATTGTGTGAGACTCCATCTGTTATGAGATTTTATCATAAAAATTTTTATATAATTAATTATTATAACATAGCAAAACCTTTCATTTTTAGGATAAAAACAGGTTTCATAAGTAGTTGTAAATGTAATAACGAGTAAAATCTTCCGATTCCATTGAAGATGTTCGATGAAATTTGAGAGCACATATGGAAATCGTAGGTGTAGGAGGCTTTGATTATTTATATGTAAACTTCTGATGCAAACCGGAAGTTACGCTGTTTCAATTGAAACGTTTTCCCTCAAAGGTGTTAGATAGATGACCCGCACGACTCTATTGTTATAAGAAAAGTATAATGTACTGGGAAAGCCACTACTAATTTGAAGTAAAGAGGATATATTTTACATAAAATTAATTAAAACTATAATTAAAAATTGCAGCCAGACATTTTGACGATGTCGCAATAAATAATTGCGCGTTGGTACGAATTTTACGACAGTCAATGAAAATAAAATGTCAAATCATATAAGTGTGGTTACAAGTTAATGTTTTGAATCCTTAATAGTAAAAAAATTATCAATCTATAGTTTAATTATTTACAAAATATTAACAACGAAAGGGTAAAGAGTTCAAAAAATTAAGCACATTTTACTCATCACTTTCATGACTGTTATGTATATACAGCAAGCAAAAGTATTGGAATCGTGTCAAATTTGACTCTCTACGTTTTAGGCAAATCTCCAAAATAAAGCTTTTAACTATTTCATATTAATTAATTAAATAAAAAATATTTTAAATAAAATATTAAAAGACATAACGCTACACGCAATTTAAATTATTTTGCTAGGAAAGATACGCAACTGATTGTTGGAATTTTGTATTTTGTAATTAGTAATAACAGAAACAGTTTGTAGACTTTAATATATTTTATTTAAGAGACATTTATGCGAAGATTGCAATTACAGTTGAAATTCTCGGATAATATCGATAAACCACCGTCCATTGTTTTTATTTGTTTGCATTTTTACGATCTTTAGACACGAAAATATATTTAAATTTCAGATAAAATGAATATTTCTGTAATCTGACATTCTCATACCTAGAATAAAAGCACTTATTGCCTTATTATTTCATTGACCTATTAAATTCGAGTCTCACTGGAATGCGTTGCTTGATACAAATTAAAAAATTTTTTTTAGTTCTCTTCGTTCTTTGCCTCTTATTAAGGCTTATCCGCCTTAATTAGTGACAAAGAACCAGCATTTGAAGCTTGTTTTAAAATTATATCTCCACCATGGCATCATATAAAGATTTTATTAGTTGTTAACATTTACAATTTATACAAAACTCATATCATCCTTCAAAATTTATGCAGAAAGATATGATCGTTAATTCTTTATCTACCGATGAAACACTTCGTTGCAGTAAAATTTCTTATTATTACTTTTTCGTTCACAAGACATTTTAAATGTCTCCATACAAAACAGTAAACATAACGTAAGCATGTGTGGTGTTTGTACACACATCGCGTGGTTCCATATACTTTCGTGAGTTAAAGGAAAGCATTTATATGACATTTCATTAAGTGGCATTCATATAAATCGTATTCGATTATTTATAAATAACAATGAATATTGGATATTTTATTAAACAATGACTTATTATTCTAGTCGTTATGTTGTTTTTACTTTCGTGTCCTCAGCAAATACAGTATATTGTCAAAAGGTTTCTACGATAAATGATGTATTTGGTCGTTCTCGTGAACAGTTAAGTAACTTCTACCGTGTACCAAATTTAGCAAGCATAATTTCTGGATTTTATGCTTACTTATTTTAAATGATTTTGTAAATAAACAAAAGTTATTTCTTATTATGTATAATCTCTACAAATATAAAGTTAAAATTACGTTTTATCTTTATTATATAGCATCAGAAAATTTACTCAATAATCTATGCTATGTATCTGAATTGTAAAAAATAATGATCTTCTAACGGTAGATTAATTAAATTCTTTTAACAAATAAATAATATCTAAAATATCGAACTATATCAATTTTTATTGATATTTTTAATTTGTTACTTTCAGTTCAACGACCTTCGGTTTCAGTGCGAAAATTACAGATTACCGATAAAATTATTCAACTATTTGCTCGTAAATCAAATTCATGTTATTAAAATTAGTTTTTGAAACGTCAATTAATATTAACACAATCGAGATTCATATACAATCGAGATTCATATAAAATGTAGACAACAGTAAAATCAGGAAAAGACTAGCAAGACGGGTCTTCACACTAAATAAAGGAAAGATGATGCTCCCTTAATCCACACTTAACAGTTGTAGACTCAATATGTATAGTCAAATCAGTAGCACATCCATAATCACAACACAAGAAAACACAATCTTACGATAATCTAGGCAATAACACGTAGCACACACAGACGTTATTCATTATCACTCCGAAAAAGTGTGCTTCACCAGGATGGAGTACAACACATCCAGCAGAGACATTTACATCCACTGGGTTCTGTATAGTATGAGCTAACAATTATTATTTGTAGCCTCGTGTCTACGGTTTAATGAGTTTTTAACATGTAAATAATGTCTTAATTTTGCTAGTTGGAGTTCAACAACAACGCAAAATTTTTGAGCAAACGTAACTTAGAATTCGAAAAATAAATCGAATTTAAATACAAATGTTCGATTATGACTCCATTTATTTCAAATAAACAATAGAATACATCAGAAAAACTGTAATTTATATTAACAATGCTTTCAATAAAGACAATTTCAACAACTGATTTCAGCCTATAATTATTAAAATTAAATATTATTTTATCAAATTTTTGAAAAAGCATCGATGAATACCATTAAAATTCAGTGTATAGATGGACGGCGATTACAAGTATCTCGATCAAGAATATTTAACAGCAGCATCATTTTAATGAGCATGATAAAATCTTATTCAAATGTCGGCGGTTGTGGTTTATAAACTACCTACCTTTTTTTCATCTGGCGGAAGTTAAGATTTACAAAAACGTTAGGATTGTTCGTGTCCCAAGGTACAATCCATGATTGTATCTTGGGACAAATATCCTGCAAGTAATTATTTCATATTTTCTCATAAATAAAATAGCATAGAGTCACGTGTTGCGCCATATATAGTGATGTTATCAGTTACTAATAGAAATATTCAATAGTTATAGCTAAAGATCAATTTGAACTTAAATAATGAAGGTTTAAATAAAAGTGTCTCAAAGTAGAAGGATCTCCCCTTTATATTACAACAATAAGAAAAAAGAAGTTGATATTTATCAGGATTTTCCTGAAAGTTTGAAAGGTCTTGTTTATTTCGATCTGGAAAGAGAAAACGTGGAATCGTTTTTCGATATTCGTCAACAAACCTCACGTTTGATACGATTTTTTTTTGGAAATCCCTCGAAAATGTAAGATGTATTTCTATGGTGTAACAATAAATGAGAAAGGAGGAAAGTTTTCTTTTAAATCTCTTTATAACCCTGATTATGGAAATGTTTGCCATTTTTTTAAAATAAATGCTTCTGTGAAAACAAATAAAATTAACGAACAATTGGGAACTGATATCGACGATGAGAGTTGTTTTGAGATCTCGTGACGATAAGAAGCAGAAAAATGTTATTATATCAAAGAAACAATATGAAAATTTGTTGGAAAATAGAGTTTTATATATTCATCTTTCTTCTTGTGTTGATAAATAGTTCAGAGCTGCCAAGAGGGGGACTAAAGGCAAAAACGTGTCCAGTAACAGACTTCGTCGGGTTCTTTACAATTCATTTTAAATTATTATTATTTTTTTTACTTTTTTCACTAATAATGATTTAATTCATTAGAGAGACTTTACGCGTATTTTGCTTCGCTTTACTGTTATCTTGTGGACTGCTTTGAGTTTGAAGAAATGTCAATCTGAAAATTTTATTTTAAGAGAATTTCAAGGTTAAAAGTAAATATATATCTAACAAAGTATTATGTGATTTCTACTGTTTAAGAAGATTGTTTGTTTTATTAGAATTAATTGAATTGTTAACGAAAACGATTATTTATGATAGAACCGTAATGACAAGTTACTGTATTTTCTCGTATTAAAATGCATTGCTTACACTTTGTAGAATAAAATCGCTTTTAAATAAATTAAAGCACGTAAAGCATTTAACGTAAACAAAACAAGTTCTAAATAACATATAATATTTACTAAAGTTATTAACACAATCGAATCTACACTTTTTTCATCTGAAGCATAATTAAATACATTTCTAACCTAAATCAAACTATACGATAAGTGGTTAGCCTATGAGTTGCAATGACTTATCACATCAAGACCGGAAAACATACAATCACTAAATACAAACTTAAAATATACAAATGTAGCTTTAAGTAACGTAGAAAATGTATTTCGGTACTAAGATCCGTCATCAGCACATTCAAGGTAAGCCATATATTATTTAAACACAAAAATATCTAAAATATTGTTTACAGATTAGACTTCTTACTGTGCACCGTGTATATAATTAGCTAAGTAAATGATATATCTAAATTAAGACAATAAAAATAAGTTTATATTTATTATTTCCATTCCTATATTTATGTTTTGAAAGTCAGCGACAAAAAATATGCCACTTAATTGATGATGTACAGGTGGAAATTCTATGAATTGCTAATGTCAAATAGTTAGTTGTAAATTTGCCTTGGTTTTCTTGTTATTTGTAAACTCTACATTGTCAGCTTTTATCTGTAACCTGAAAAGAGGTGACGTGATATATAATAAAACTCTAACCCGGAATGTATTGCTTGATACAACAAAAATTTTTTTTTTAGTTCTCTTTGTTCTTTGTATCTTATTAAGGCTTATCCGCCTTAATTAGTGACAAAGATCCAAGCAATTAAAACACGTTTTAAAATTATATCTCCACCATTGCATCATATGAAGATTTTATTAGTCGTTAACATTTACAATTTGTACAAAACTCATTTCATTCTTCAAAATTTAGGCAGAAAGATATGATCGTTAATGCTTTATCTACCGATGAAACACTTCGTTGTAGTAAAATTTATTGTTGTTACTTTTTCGTTCACAAGACATTTTAAAAGTCTCCATACAAAACAGTAAACATAACGTAAGCATGTGTGGTGTTTGTACACACATCACGTGATTCCATATACTTTCATGAGTTAAAGGGAAGCATTTATNGAACACCGAGAATTAGAAAACAATATTTTAATAAATAAATCAAGAGTTGTGAATTTGAGTCCCATCCTGGACGATTATTTTTTTTCGGAATATTCTAAATTTAAAATTAATTTACTTCTGATTATTAAATTTATTAGGAGAGCAGCTAAAGCACCTATCTCTAGCCAAATTGGTTTGTTATGTAATTAGTTATTAGGCTCAACATAGCCCAATAGATAATCTGACAGATCATTTGGTAATAGAAATGTTCTGGGTTGTTGTTTATTATGTAAATTACACAATCTATCCGCAAGAAGGAAGTGCTATCTTTCCCATTCTTTCACAGTTAAGAAAATATTATGGCGATATAAATTAAAACTTTCAGTTGTATGAAATATGTTGTAAATTTCCGATCTTACAATGGTGGAAGCAATCGTTTCCAATCAAACCCCAACCACTCGTAATGTAATCCGAGTAAATTTTCTTTTTAGCGAAGTTTTACATTTAACAAATATTCTGTCAAATCCGAGAAAAAAGAATTTGTTAAAAATAAACTTTCCTTTAAAAAATGCAATTAAAATACTCGAAATATTACATCTATGACGTGAACTCGTGACGTAACGCGTGACGCATTGCAACGACAAATTCGAATTCGTTCCATTTCGTATTGTTGCCGACGCCATCTTGGAAATTTATGCTTTCCGGAAAAAGCGAGTTCTTTTTCTCTCCATTTTAACATTTTTCGTACAAATTTTAATAATGAAAACTCGCGTAACGTAGGTAACTTAATATTTTTCGATTTATATCAAAATTAAATAATTTAAATTAGATACTCTTTAAACCTAGATTTGCGGCTTGTAACCGGTAAGGTTACGGAATGCGTTTTTATAATGTTATTTATTATTACAAATAGGCCTATATTTTACAAAAAAAGAAAACTATTTTAGCATTTTAAAGAAAACATTCGCAAGTAGTTAATATTCTGACGTGGAACTTGTGACGTAACGTGTGACGTAACATCGCACGTTCTACCGATTCGAATTCGTTCGATTTCGTATTGCCGACGCCATCTTGAAATAGAAAGATTTCTGGAAATTGCGGGTTCTTTTTCCCTCCATTTCGAGATTTTTCGTAAATGTTTAATTACGTAAACCCGAATAACGCAGGCAATGTAACGTTTTTTATTTATAAGCAATCAAAATTGAATAAATGTCGATAGAATATTAAATGTAAAAGTCTTAAATTTTTACTTAAAATATTTAAGATTGTTTCCACTTAGCATCGAATTAAATTATCAGATTATAAATGATATTCGCTTGCATATTGTCTTATATTCTTTTGAATGAAACAATAAATGTCTTGTATTAAACAATTATTTCAATATTAAATTAATTAATTAGCTAACGAATCTTTTCTACTCTTAATATTTAAATTCTTAAATTATTCCAGGAAAAAGTATCATTCTCAAATTTTATAATCCACTTTCCAAAGAGACGTGGAATCATTTTTATCTTGTGCTCAAAAAATTCTTATATAGTTAATTGGGGCCTTCTCCCACTCAGGTTTCCGCATCGGATTCCGTTTTCGAAATCAAGGAAAGACAAATCGAATTTATAGGTCTATAAATTGCAGTCCAAAAATCTTAATATGTAAATCTTATTACTTTTCCTAACTTGAATCATAAAACAAAATAAAAAAATTCAAATAAGTTAATGACAGTGGCATGTTATAGCTTCACGAATCCCATTTCAATTTGAATTAGAGATGCCCCATCCAAGCAATTGCATTCCTTGCCCATAGGATAACACGCTACTGGTTAACAAAATTATTTTTTGTATATTTTTATTGTTCGATATACTGTTTTCGGTATAACGTTACTATTGAAAATTTAAATTCGTTTATCAATAATTTTATACAATGTTATACAATATAGAAGTCTTATGTATTGTTATACAATACATAAGACTTCTATTCGTAAGAACTTTAATGATACATTAATACAAAATAAAACAACTTTTATATTCAAAATTAATTTAATTATAATGAAAATTTTAATTGCAAAGTTACTTTGATGCTATTTTAAATAAGCATTCAACAATTTATTTTCACTACAACTGCCACATAAACACATACTCACACTAAATATAGCATAATGGCACCCGTATTCGAATGTTTAAAGCTGATATGTAATTTGATATTTTTTATCACAATCAGTAGAAGCGCAAATAGCAAAATTCATGTATGAAAATAAAGATTGTTCTACACTTGTCATGAAAACAAAACACAGTTAAATACAACAGCAATCTGCAATAGGCAGAATAATAGCTTCATATAATTCTTCATAAGTATGTTTTGCATATTGTAAAAAATACATAAATTTTATATACCTTTTTAAAATATTACTTCTAACTTTTACAATTATTAAGCATCTCGAAAAGTAAGTTTTAAAGGGTCTAAATAAATATGTTTATGAACAATTTCTTGTAAGGTTGTTAAAACCATTCAGTAGAAAATTATCTCCATATACTTATTAATAGTTATCTTTTGAATTGCTATTAGGGTTTTCTGGTTTTTCGTTTTCTGCATATTATGCCAGTTAATCGATTAATTAATCAGGTGGCAATTTTACAAAATAATTGAGCATCATATATTACATGCGTATTAAATATAAAACAGTATATTAAATATTAATAATTTTAATTAACATTATTAACATGATCTCAAAAAAGTTCTAATTCAATTTTTAATTTTACATTTTAACATATAACTATAATAGATAATTATATACGATATTTAATTGTTATCTTACATTTGATAATATTATTTTAATTGCATTATTTATAATAAATTATATAATTAGGCCTATATTTTGATATTTTATCACGAACACATTACATATTTTGCTGGACAGCAACTAAGTCAGTTGCTGCATATGAAAAATACCACTTTGGCATAAGGGCTACAAATAAAAAAAAAAAATTCAACAATACAAAACAATTACATATAAAGTATAGGCCTACTTAAAATAAACTAAGTAGTCCAAAAAATATACGAATACACACTGAACAAAATAGATAACATCAGCGACTAGAGAAAGACAGGTTACCCTCGGACATGACATTTTCCTTACAACACCGAAGACATAACCATTCTAATTTTAACAAATATTGACCGGACATTGAATATCAAAGTGTCGCAGTCCGACAGGTCAGAGGAGAATCCAAATAGCGACAAAAATATAGACACACCGATTGCGACAACCATGGATATCCGACAGAAATGTTTTCAAAATTAATTGTTCTGTGTAGAAAAGAATACAGGAATGTGATATAAATGAAAGCTTCTTCTGTTAAGCGGTGAAAATTTTGATTTTATTTTAATCTTAATTTTATTTTTATGCTTTTTATTTTTATGTTTCTTCATAAGACCAAAAAGCATATGCTTGATTTGGAGCCGATTAGATAATATTACTACTGCACACTGGTAGCTAGTCATCGGTTTGTGCTTTGCCATCACAGTGGCCACATGGAGTTTTTCGGATTTTCTTCACGTGTGCAACATCTAAATAGAGGACACAGAACACAGTAAGTCCTCGCTAGATGATTTTACTTCGGCAGAACGCCTACGTGTCGCGTCAACGTATACGAATAAAACCAAAACTTAAATTTGAAGCTTATTTATATTGAAATTTTGAATACTACACAGATATTCAAACACTTTAAATTTTAAATATGAATATAGTGTAGTTAATTATTTTGTTTCAGATCGAATAAGCAATGGCGTTAAACAGGATATTATTGTAATCTATATTGTACTGAAAGTATAACAGAAATTCATCGAAATGTTTTGACATGTCTCTTTCTAATATTAGGAAAAATCAGAAATTGACTTTATTATAACGATCAATATCGTGTGCTTAAATGCTCTTTGAATACATCATGTTTTTCCGATACAACAACTAGAATTAATAAAATAATGCAAAACATAAGCGATCTGCTTTAGGAACGACTTTTTACATAGAAGTGATCCTATTTAGTTTTTATTTACGCGAAGAAAATCGGAAAACTTCATTTGGCCAGCTCGTTTGGTAAAACGAGTAATCGAGATCAGTGTTTAGAGGTTTAATTCACCCGGCCGCTTATAGATCAAAAAGTATATACCAAATATGTCTCATTTAATATTATTCAGTTCATGCTTAAGTCCATGATGGGATTGGACAGGTGTTTTGAGACAGGTCTTCGCCTATCTGTAACAGATCATCTTAAAAACTTTACGACACCAGAAATCGAATCCGGAGCCTCAGACAACAGGCTAACTCTTTTTTTAGTAAAGATTGGTACATTATGAAATTTGTCTAGAGTGATAATGTAAAAATCTGAAAAAATTAATCAGACTTGCGTAATGCGATTTCCGAGGGTAAAAAAACATTAATTTTATTCAATAATGCTTCTTACTTTGATATTGTTTGCAGAATAAATGAATACATGAATTACGAAGCACATTAACGTTTACATTTCTGAATATGTCTATGATATATAGCGCCATACAGCAATTATTTAAGTTAATGTCACGTTAATGTATATTAGGTTATTAGTCCAATATCAGTTAAATTAGCTGAATGAAGAGCGATTGAATTCGATTTGCTTTATTATCGATATAAGACAAGACACCGATTGAGTAACCTGCCAAATGGCTGTTTACCATGGAAAATTGACTTGTCTTAAATATTAGACAAGTGAAGAATATATGTGAAATTTTACTTTACTAGCTCCGAAGTAAATTGCGAAATTACAGTAATAATATGCAGAATTTTATTATGTAATCGAGTACGTTATAAGACATATTTTTTTTAGTGTAATTTTTGCTTTGACTAGTGTTAAACGTGTTTATCAGTTCTTTATCTTAACTTTAGAAGCGGTCTTCATTAACTGAAAAGTGAACACAATGGTCGAATTACTCTTACCGGAAGTAGTTTTCTCACCTTTTCTGATACTTATGAAATGTATTTGTGCAGATTTATCTTTTATCCCAGCAAAGAAAAAAAGATTTATATATACATATGCGACGATTTTAAAAATTATGTCTGTAGTTAGAAGTATAACTTACGTCATCATCTTATGTGCGGGAACAGAAGATATAGCATTATCTCTGTGTGATGCTTGCGGAATATTCCAGAAAAACGCAAACGATGTAAGATTAATACATTTTTTATTAAGTCTTTTTAATTTGTATTATTTTCGAGTGTGGAATTTGAAAACTTTGAGGACCCCCATTGAAAAACATCAATTCCTGTTGCAAGACATCATAAACGAACCGATGTTCAGGCACCGAAAACTTCCCAAACTCTTAAAAATCCAAAATATACTTGTCATTTCGTGGATTATTATTATTGTAATTTTAACCATTGCTATAATAACGACAAACAGTTATTTCTTTCTGTTACTAGCCGACACTACATGGACTATTCGAGATTCTATTTGTGTAATTGCATTGAATATAAGCAATATTTACATAGCAATGAATAATGTTACTATCGTCTTCTTTATCGTTTTGTTCTGTGAAATGTTAAAGATGCAGTTTTTAGTGTTATGTGAATATTTGAAAAATGAGAGCGGGGACATTCCGTTAAGAGTTGTAACGAAATGCTTACAAAATTTCAAGGACAATTTGAAGTTTATTAACGTTATTCAGAATGAATTTACAACTATAATAATAATTACTGTAATATGCCTGGAATTTTCATTAGAAAAGATCGTTCTGTTCAATTACGAAATGGAAGACACGTTAAGGTTTTACATCAAAATGTTTAATATTAGCATTTTATTTCTCTGTTTCAGTTACTCGTATTACTTATCGACATTGTCGAGAAAGGTAAGTAACGTTTTTAAATTAATTTGATGTTTTTCATTTACGATTAAACAGTGTATAAAAATTTCTAGACGTAATATATTATCAGGAAATTGCTTGGAATTGCTCGCAGGTATATAATTATGAAAACTGAATGCTTTTCTTAGGCTGGATGTGTACTCATTCCTTATATTTGCCATCTCCAGCATAAGAAGAAAACTAATTGTTTTTCACTTTCCCAGCCATTATACATAGCAGAAGTTATAACCCTTAAGTATTTTAGACTTAGGGCACTTTGACACGTCGAGAAATGCAAGATAGTTTGAGGATTTCTTTTGTATATAGGATGTTAGTGTATTTGTGCGTAGCAAGAGATGATTTTGTTTATCTACATAAAGCAAATAAATTCTGTATTTTGAATATAATTGCATGAAACAATTTTCTTCAATTGAGAATTGACGTTATTAAATTTTAATAGTCGAGGGGTGGGTGGATAGAGGAAGAAGCGTCATATCCTGAGTTAGGTAGATATTCATGAAAATTTTATACGTTCATTAGCAGTTGTAATTGTTTTAATAAAACTAGTTTTTACTTTCAGAATTGAATATCGTAAAAAGTTTCTTAATTATAATATAATTGTAATAAAAGTTGTGCTGGTGTATATCTTAGTATTCTAACAGACACCAGCACAATTTTTAAAGTTTCGCTGAGAAAGTTACGAAACTCCTTGCTGAATTTTGTACATTTTTTATATTTTTCTAACAGTTTTCCTTAGAATTTATTTTAGTATTTCTGGATTATTTTTAATACAGAATTGCATATTTTTCACATGTTTCTCGCAGGAAATGGATATCTGCACCATATTGTACGATAGATACTTTCAATGCGATAGTGAGGACGATATTCTCATGGTAATATTATTAAAATCTTTAATAAACTTTTCTAGAATTTCAGTTTTTCAAATATTAAACACGTTGAATGTTTTCGTTTCAGATTTGCAACATGGTGAACGAGTATCAGCAATCAGAACTTAACTTCAATTATCTCGGTTGCTTTCCTATCACACGCTTTTTCATATTGAAGGTACGTACTGTACACGCATTACATTACAATAAGCTAATCTGTCGGTATAATTTGTATAGTAAATCTTATAAATAAAAAAATAGTTTAATAAATACACTCGTACCTTATAATACAAATCTGAAAACAAGTAGAATGTTTTTCGGTGGGTGGTTTGTTCGGATATGTCCGGTTCCATTCCTTAGCACCTAGTCGCCCATTGTGGGCCTGCTATAAGAGGCCCTCTTAGTTCCCACAGGGTGGAAAGAGTGAAAAAAGAATATCGAAACGTCCTTGCGAAAGTTTAGAAATTTTCACGGAAATAGTTCAGCTTCAAACTGGGTTAATAAAATAGTTTTAATTAACGAGAATTCAATAAAATTCCTATTTTATATGACCGCTAATTTATAAATAGTGTGTAAATAAAACATACGTACAATGTAAATAAATAGATAAATTATTCACTGTAATATCATCACAATATTCTCGATTTTAGTAGTCTTTTCCCTCTGCATCATACTTTTCAGGTGAACAGTACGGTCATGACAGTTACCTGCCTAAATCCGTTCAAAAAAAAATTTTTGAACAGCACTAACGTCATAGTCGATCAAAACCGAAAGTTTGTATATACATGTACTTAATCGAGCCTCTCGCCTGTAATATTTCTGTATCTGGGCCCCATTTTCATCTATCTAACTCCGTTCTCGGGATTAATGAAGAATAGTCAGACAATCAGAAAAACTGCAGTAACAATTTATAGGTATAAATACTAAATACTAAACATTTACCGTAGCAGGAATTTCAATACATGAACTTAGAACTGTGAAGTATGGCTGAATTTGTTTACCGATTTATTGATATTTCTTACGTTTTCGAATGAATGTTACAAAATAGAAATTTCACCGTACAGTAGACCCCTATAACACGGATTCGTATAACACGGCGAAAAAATTGCGACCGTGTTCGTATAAACACGCTAAAACAGACTCGTTTAATTTAATACGGTATATCAGAAAACTCGCGCCCGCTGTTCCATGCGCCGCTCCTCGAAGAAAACAAACTTAAACAATGGCGTCATCGAACTGTGCACACTCGGTAAGTAATCCTACAATTTTTTGTTTATAGCATAGTTTACATGGATTATTCCCAAAAAATTATACGTGTTTTGGAAATGTTGAGTCAAACAGCCATAGTCCCTAAACTGCACACGTGCCGGGCTGTGATTGGCTCATGTATTTAAGTGACTCGTACAACACGAAATTCATAAAACACGGAACGTATCTACCGTGTTATAGAAGTCTACTGTAATTGAATTTGTATAATTTGAATAACATTTATATTCAGCACTACTCTACAGCATCTCTGTGTTACACTATGACACTTTTTTGCTTTTTATTTCAGATGCTTGCCTACTTCTCTACTCAGACTGTGGTACTCAAAGAATTATATGAAAAGTTTCATCTTAAAAGTACTTGAAATACGTTTGAAATTTTCAAATGAACAAGAAAAAAGTTACAGATTTGTTAACATATTTATAAATGATTATTTTTTTGAAAGTCATGCAAATTCTCGACAATATAATTAAATGTTTATGTCTTTTAAGGAAACGTAGACCAATTCATATTATAAAACAGCGTTTTTACTTTTGTTTTTATGATTGTTATATATAACAGTAAAAGTGTATGGCGATCGGACAATACGATATTTTTATATTTTTGATTTCGAGTAACCTTTAAAAAGCAAGAAATAGAAAAAAAATGTGAGTAATTATGTGTATAGTTGAAAACGAGCATTGTTTTTATAATTTCACTAAAAGTATTGTCTTTCTACATTATTCTACCCGAAGAAAACTTACTGTTAATATCTTCTAGTCTACTGCACGTTGAAGTTTATCCTGTCAGAAAGATATTTGGACTTCGTTTTAGATGTTTAACGCTTTCGCTATAGGAAAGCACGTTTTTCTTCTTAAAACACCTTTCCAAAAACTCTCAAAACAGATGACGTTCAATTCATGTTAATGCACATTTTTCAATTGCTCTGTGGCCAGGAATAAAGGATAAAAATTGCTTAACCATTATCGAACTTTCATTTTTTTATAAAGTCTAAAAACTGAAACCATTATCTTTAATCTCAAATGTATATGTATATAATTCGTCTCTGTAATCCAAAAATTTCTAGTAGACGGACTCACAGCAAAACTTTTAGTTAGGAACTCACTTTTATTCTTTAAAAAATG